GCCCACACTCTCACACTTGTGAGTGGATTCCATGGCCTCATCTGCCCACACTCTTACACTCATGAGTAGATTTTGTGGCCTCACTTGCCCATGCTTTCACACTTGTGAGTAGACTCTGTGGCCTCACCGCTTACACTCTCACACTCGTGCTATTGCTCCAGCCCCCTCCACCCCCTTTTCTTTGTGACTTCCAATACTGTTCCTGACAGGGGTCCACGCACACACAGTTATTCCAACCCCACGCCCACCATTCATGGAATGCATGTTTGGGACAAGTTCTGTTCTTTTTTTTTTTTTTTTAAAAAAAAACATTTAAATTAATTAATTATTTATTTTTGCTTTTTGGGTCACACTCAGCGTGGCTCAGGGGTTACTTGAGCCACTCGTGAGTGGCTTTGGTGGCCTCACCTGTTCACACATACAAGCCATTGGTCAGTGGCTCTAGTGGCCTTGTCTGCTCACACTCTCACGCACTTGTGAATAACTTCTCACGAGTCACTCATGAGTTAACTCTGGCACCTTCTACCAGCCACAGCTCTCTCTTGACTGCTTCCCCCCAACGTTTCAATTATTAAAAATTTTAATTGTATTTCCTAATGTTTTATTTCGGTACCATGGTTTACAATCACTGTATCACTGTCATCATGTCTTTTCATTGTTCATCAATTTGCTCAAACGGGCGTCAGTAACATCTCCATTTGTCCCGGTCCTGAGATTTTAACAGCCTCTCCTTACTCGTCCTTCCCAACCATGCTGTATTGGAGACTCATTCAGCGTCAGGGGAATGAGACCTGTTATTGTTACTGTTTTTGGCACATCAAATATGCTATGGGTATCTTGCCAGGCTCTGCCGTGCTGGCGGGATACTCTCGGTAGCTTGCCGGGCTCTCCAAGAGGGACTGAGAATGTATATAAGAGAATACAAGCAAGTATGTTAAAACCAAACACATGTGTGCTGCTTTTAGGTACATCAGTGGGCTAGACTATAAGCGGTTGCACTTCTGGGAGTTTTGTTTTACAAAGCTGTCCATAATTTACAAGTTTACAAAGCTGTCCATCACTGTCATGATCACCCCGTTGTTCACTGATTTGCTCGAGCTGGGGCCAGTTACGTCTCCATTCGTCCCTGTCACGTGCTAGGGTAGCCCGATGGCATATTGGGGGCTCTTTCAGGGTTAGGAGAATGAGGACCATCATTGTTACTGTTTCTGGCACACCAAGTATGCCATGGGAAGCTTGCCAGGCTCTCTGAGAGGGATGGAGGCTTTTGGGGCAACCTCTAATCACCTTTACAGGTCTTCCCAGTCAGGCGTATGTGCGGGCAAGATACACTCGGTAGCCTGCCTGGTTCTCTGAGAGCGAGAAGTAGACAATAGGAAGTCGCTTCCGGGAGCTTGGTTTTATAGTCTCTGGATCTTGGCAGTTGATGGGGTTACACGGCAGTTGGTGGGTGTAACTGTCTAGCTACTGGAATGTGGGGGAGCTGGGTGGAGGAGGCCCAGTCCCGATCCGAGCAGGCTTGGAGATCTCAGCCCCGGGTCCCACACATGTGGGTTCCTCTGCCGGCTCCCTCATGCGTGAGGCTTGAACTAGCATGTGGAGAGTGGTCTCAGCATGGCTGTGACTGGGCCCCTGCTCAGGGCGGAGAGGGAAACTCAACCTGCCCCTCTCCTAGGGGCCCAAAGCTTTGTTTTACAAAGCTGTCCATAATTCCTCCACCAGTGTCCCCAGGATCCCCTCCAACCCCGAAGCCTGCTTCCTTCACAGGCACATTTTCAGATTAATTATCATGCTTTGAGTTACCTGCTCATAGTAGTGTCAGCCCCAGCAGCCGAGGCACGGAGAGATGCCTTCAAGACCCTGACCCTTGCTCGTATGGTCCCTCCAGGTGCCTCTTCTTGCTCCCTCTCTGTTCCTCTCCTTCCCTGACACTTTCATTTCTGTAATCTAGAGCCAAGGGTTTGCCCATCCTGATACCCTCTATTCCATTGACACGCTGTTCTAAATAATTATTTTGGAGGTTAGAGGTGGGCAGGGGAGCTGGGGAAGCGGCCCGGGGGGACTGGGGGTCTGCAGGGAGCCCATGAGGGCCTTGCTTGAGAGGAGGTGGGGCCTGGCTTCACAGAGGAGTGAGAGAGAACACCCGGTATGTGTCCTGTGACTTTCTTCTTCTTCTTTTTTTTTAAAATTAGAGTTTAGGTAATAAAGTTATAACAGTGTTGATAATATTGATATCTAAAGCCACAGAGCTCCACCACTGCTGAGGTACCAATGACCCTCCACCGCTGTCCCTAGTCACCCCTGGTCTGATCTTCCCTTTATTTGTTGATTGACAGATATGAGGTGGATGGTTATGCCCCTTAGCACCATCCGTGTGCTCCAGACCCTCCACTTCTGCTCCCGTGTTACTTCTGGTCAAACACATCCTCCTGTCCCTGGCCCCTGGTGTATCAGATGTGTTTATGGGCACTGAGGTTTGTTGTTGGTTGATGTGGCCCCTCCAACAGCCCCCACCCTTGGTTTGTTCCTCTCTATAGCACAGCCCAGTGAGCTTATCCTCACTTCTTCTGTCCCTGGTTTATTTCTGCTCCACACAGCATGCTGCATAAGACCACACAGGACTGTGTTTACTTTTCTTTTTAATAGCTGATTGCTGGGCCACACCCTGTGATGCTCAGGGGTTGATCCTGGCTCTGTGATCAGGAGTCTCCCCTCGGTGGTGCTCAGGGCAGCAGAGGTGGCACCGAGATCCCACAAAGGTCAGTTTCCAAGCAAGGCAAATGCCTTATTCACTCCTGTACTGTGTATCTGGCCCTGTCTGTTTACTCTCCTTCCCACAACCCTATCTTTTGTTGTTTGTTTGTTTGGGGCTGGCTGTGCACACAGGAATTACTCAGGGGACCATATGGAATGTCCGGGATCTACCCTGGGTCGGCTGAGTGCAAGAAAAACTCCCTACCCACTGTACTAACGCCGGCATCGTCTGTTAGCTATATTTAAGGGAGCAAGTATGGTCCTTGGGGAGATTCCCACTGCCTGAACACCAACCCTAACCTAACTCTAACCATAATCCTGGCCTAACAAACCCAAACCTAACCCTAGCCCTAGCCCTTATCCTAACCCGAAGCAGAACCCTAACATAGCCCTGGCCCTAACCCTAACCCTAAAACTGGTCCTACCCCTTGACCTAGCCCTAACCCTACCCCTAATCCTAACCCTAACTCTAAACCTAGACCAAACCCTAACCCTAACCCTAGCCCTAATACTAACCCTAGCCCTAACTCTAACCCTAACCTTGCCCAAGCCCTAACCCTAACCCTAACCGTAGCTCTAATCTTAACCTTAGCCCTAGCCTTTACCCTAACCCTAGGCCTAGACCTAAATAAACTTAACCCTAAACCGAATCCTAACCCTAGCCCTCGCCCTTACACTAAACCTAGCCCTAGACCTACCCTTAACCCTAGTCCTACCCCTAGCCCTAGTCCTTACCTTAACCCGAACCAGAACCCTAAACTGAACCTGAACCCTAGCCCTCCTCAGGGCTCTGCAGAACCTGTCATGGAGTGAGTGATAATCCTGGCTCTGAGTCCTACTTACTGTCTTCTGAAGGAGGCCCCTGGGCACCTCTGAAAACACTTGCCAAGCCCAAGGTCCCCAGGGATTGAACTCAACTGAGGACACTATTGCACCAGACAGAAAGGGTGCTGATTCTAGGAGGACAGATGACTAGACAGGGACCCTGAGAGTCAGGCGCAAGTCTGAGGCACGTGGGGCTGGTGAATGCAAGAGCATGGCCCATGGGCTGTCCAGTCTGGCTGGGGAGTCCCTACCCCCAGTCTTAGGCACTTCACCTCTGTGGTGGAAGCCTGGAAACAGGAAGTGCTGAGCATGGTGGTGGAGGAAGGAGCTCAGGAATGCATCCGAGCACCACTTCCTGCTCATTTCCACTGCACTCTGAACAGAGTTTGATAATGGCGTGTGCCAGGCAGGAAGTGAGTGAAAGCATGAATCCTGCCTCATGGGGAATATTGCTCCTCAATGCCACCTCCAATCCTGCTGGGTCCCCCAGCTCTTCAGCTTTCTGCTTCTTGCAGGAAGTCCGGTTCCTTCTGAGGGTGGCAGGCCTCCGGTCCCATGCTGGGCAGGGTTTGAGGCACCAGCCCATCCCGTCCCTAGACTGCCCCACTACTCTTTCCAACTGCTGGAAATGTCCCCTATTTCTGCCTAGCTCGGAGATCTCTGAAGCTCCCCTTAGTAGGCGGGGATGTTTGGCCATCGTCGTTGTTGCTTGGTTCTCCCCAAAAGAGGCACCCCTCCCACCCCATGCTAACTGGAAGAAGCATAACCGTTCATTTTATTGCTAGTGGGGTGGGGCTTGGGTGTGGCCTGATGCCAGTCTCCACCTCGGGATGCCCCATTTCCTCGTAGGTCAGGTGTGGGCAGAACCTTGGCTATTACCCAGGCTGCATTCCACAGGGCAGCGTGTGCTGAAGAGGCTCTGGCACCCCTGTCTAGCGTGTGTGTCTGTGTGTTTGTATGTGTATGCTTGTGTATGTGTACCTGTGTTATATGTTATGTGTGCATGTATATGTGTGTTTATGTGTATATGTGTATGTGTGTACGTATGTGTATATGTGTATGTGTGCATGTGTGTGCATATGTGTATGTTGTATGTATGTGTGTGCTTGTGTGTATGTAGGTGGGGGACAGAATCGAGAGGATCCTGGACCGTCAGGGAGGTGGTGCTTGATCACTTGGCTTGTTTGGGTCACGCGCAGCTGTGCTCAGGGCTTACTCCTGGCTCTGCACTCAGGGATCCCTCCTGGCTGGTTCAGGGGACTCTGTGGGGTGTTGGGGATTGGGCTCAGGTCACCTGTGCACAGGGAAAGCGCCCTCACCCTTGTGCTGGTTTCCCTTTCTTTGGGCTCAAGCTGACTTCCCCCTCCCAGGCCTCCAGGGCAGGAAGAAAGAGGCAAGGACACACATGTGAATGCTCATACTTTATTGGGGGACGGAGGAGGCCCGGGACAGCTAGTGGGGGTGAAGTAGGGGTGCAGAAGAGACTCGGGGGTGTCGGCAGTTGCAGATCTTCAGTTTCTGAGTCCTAAGCACACTGTGGGCTTTGGATAATTTTTTGCTGAAACAGACAGACAGACAGACAACTCACTATAAGACTGAAGGATGAATTTGGTTACACAAAAACCCTGTTTTCTGTGAACCCTGGGGTTCAGTCACTCTTGGTAAGGTCCCTATGATTTCTTATAAGTCAATTTTATTTTAATTTTGGTTTATCATTATTATTATTATTATTATTTTGGTGTTGGTGGGGAGTACACCCAGTGATGCTCAGGTGTTAAAATCTTTTTTTTTTCTTTTCTTTTGTGTCGCACCCAGCAATGCTCAGGGGTTTGTCCTGGCTCTGTACTCAGCGATCCCTTCTGGTGGTGATGGGGGTGACTGGGATGCCGGGGATTGAGTCTGGGTTGGCTGCGTCCAAGATATACGCCCTCCCCACTGTGTTATCTCTCCAACCCGCAAGTCCCTTTTAAAGAGAGAGGAAGGGAAGGAAATGGGACTCTCTACTGGGGACTAGGAAAGGGTCTTCATGTGGGCTGCCACTGAGTACCGTGAGCTTGGCGGCACCATCCTTGATCTGGGGCGGAACCAACTCCATCATTTTCTTCAGTGTGACCCCTCCGAGCTTCATATCTTCAGTGGGTTCGAAGACAGCGATTGCAGCCTCATAGTCAGAAACGGGGCCTTCGAAGAGAGTTCTCAGGGCCTCTAGGAATTCTGGGCAGATCTCGGCCTTAGCTGGAACACAAGGCAAGAGGGAGCGCATGAGAGCGTGTGAGGGCTGGCCTGTGTGTGACAGGGGCCCAGGGTGGGCTCTGCCTACTGCTCTGTGTTGCTGTTTGTGGCTGGTCAGCCGGCCGGAGCCTGTTGGCCTTTCCTAGGCTGGGCTGGGTATGGTGCCCTCTGCCACCCCCCACCCCCCACTTTTTAAAAAATTAAAAAAAAATTTTTTGATTTTGGGGCTGGAGTGATAGCACAGTGGGTAGGGCGTTTGCCTTGCATGCGGCCGATCCAGGTTTGATTCCCAGCATCCCACATGGTCCCCTGAGCACCGCCAGGAGTAACTCCTGAGTGCAGAGCCAGGAGTAACCACTTAGCATTGATGGGTGTGACCCAAAAAGCAAAAAAAAAAATTGATTTTGGGCCACATCCAGTGAGGCTCAGGGCTTCCTCCTGGCTCTGCACTCAGGAATTATTCCTGCTCGAAGGAATATATGGGATGCTGGGGATCGAACCTGAGTTGGCAGCCTAAAGCAAGTGCCCTCCCCACTGTCCTATTGCTCCAGCCCCCGTCTACCCTTTCTGGTTGAGTGCTAGGTGGAGTATTGATCATGAGGCGTGGATATGAGTCTTCAGCCAGTGTGGGAGGCATGCTTGGGGTTGGTTCCCTTCCTCTGCCAACCCCACCCGAAACATGTTCCTTAGCGGTGAACGATGATGGTTTGAGCCACTTGTTCTGGGGGTCACAAAGCAGAGTCAACCCTGGCTGCAAGAAGCCCCAGGTCAGCTAAGCATGAATCCCTGCCCTCAGCCTGCAGAGGTGGACCAGGAGCATGAACGTTGGGGACCCAGGAAGACGAGTCTCTGGGGTGGGTGCGGTTCTGCGGTGGAAATTGGGGAGGATCTTGGCAACTAAGCCACCCCCCCCCCCGACCCCTGTTGTGTTTCCAAGCCCATTTCATGTCCTGCACCCAGTGTCCCACTATCTGCCCTTCCCGCTTCCCCCTGGAGCCCAGGAGACCGTGTCCAGGACTCACTGCCCACTTGTCCCTGCTTGCCCATCTCTGGCCACCAGGTCTCGGGTCCCTGCCCTTGAACACTCTGTGCCTGTGCGCAAGCTGGGAGTTCCACATCTGGCCAGCAGAGACTAGTCCCCTTTTGCATGCAGATCTCTGTTCCTTTCCCTTCTGGGTCTTGCTTTTCTCATCTCGAGGCCACGGGTCTGCCCTCATAGGGGTGGTTGCAAGAATGAATGAAGGGACGCTTGGTGAGCAGTATTTGGAGCAGAAATCAGCTCGGGTAAGCGCTGGCCAGTGGTCAGACACAATCTTCACTGTTATACTGGGGGCACACGCAAGCCCACGTGCAAAAACACCCCAGACTGTCCCCTAAATGACTGTCTGCCTATCTGATTCAACCACACTCTCCCATGGACGACTAATCCATGTCCATTTCAGTCCCACATGATATTATTTCCTTCGAAAATCAAACTTCCCTGCACCTTAATTGTTCCTGTCCTTTCTGGTTTTCCTAAGAACTCTCGCTCCCTCCCCACTCCCTTGGGGGCTATAGAATGTATCTCCATGGATGATGAAACTTTCATTTTTTGAGTGGGGGTTGTTTGGGCCACATCCCGCAGGGCTCAGGGGCTACTCCTGGCTCTGTGCTCGGGAGTGAGCCCTGGCAAGGTTCTGGGGGCCACGAGATGCTTGGGAATCCAGTAATTGGCAACATGCAAAGACAAGAGCCTTAACCTCTGCCCCATCTCTCTAGCCTCTCACCTTTTGGGGTTATTTGGGTTGTCTTTGGGCTGATAGTGTTTGGGGCTACTTCCAGATTCATACTTGGGGTTGCTGGGAATTATTTATTTATTTATTTATTGCTTTTGGGTCCAACCCAGCGATGCTTAGGGGTTGCTCCTGGCCATGCTTTGGGAACCACATGGGATGCCGGGAATCGAACCCTGTTCGGCCCCATGCAAGGTAATTGCCCTCCCTGCTGTACAATCGCTCTGGCCCCAAGGGTTGCTGGGAATCAAGTGTAAGTCTCCTGCATGATTTGCTTCAGTCCTTTGACTGATTGTTCTGGCCCTGCATGAGGAGATCTTTTAAGTGAGTTAATGGACCAGGGAAGTGGCTCAAAGGGCTTGATAGAGCAGGAGGCCCGGCTTGATTTTCGGCATCATCTGGTCTCGTGAGCACCCTGGGGGCAGACTGCTCTTTGGAGCTGGGGAGCATCCCCCCCCATCCCCACTCCCACCCTGAACACCACCAGGTGTGGCTGAAATACAAAAACGGAGTGAGTTCATGGGTTCCTTATCTTTTCCCTTTAAAAGGATCACAGGTGGCTAACAGGAAGTGAAAAACACCCGCTAGCTTGGATTTGGATTGACCCAGCTCCTCCAAGATCAGAGAGAGCAAGATTGGGGCGATCTGCCCACCTGACCCCAGCCCCCCCAGCCTGATCCAGTTCCTTTCCTCTTGTTTTTGTTATTGTTGATTTGGTTTTTGGCTTTTGGGCCTCACCAGGCAGTGCTCACGGTTTACTCCTGGCTCTGAGCTCAGAGATGACTCCTGGCAGGACTTGGGGCACCTGTTGGGATGCCAGGGACCGAACCTGGGTCTGCCGTGTGCAAGGTCAGCACCCTCCCTGCTGTACTATATTCCTGCTAGTCAGTCATTCTTGCAAAGGTTTAGCAAACCCCTCTCTGGGGTGGCAAGTTACCCAAAGAGAAGATCCTTTCTAGAATAGTCCTTTGGCCAGAAGGAGAGACCTTGCTTTGGGTTGGATTTCTTGGGGGGCCAAGCAGCCATGAAAGAGCGGGGTGAAGACCCCAAACCCAGGGACTGCTAGTTTTCTTGGTCCCTGGATGGGGGAGACGCTCAGGATGCAGTTTTGCGTGCCCACACTGGTTTGCACGCTGCGTGAGCATGGTGGTTCCGTCAGCCCTGACCCTCCATCACGCTGCCCTCCCGTCCATCCCTTGGCACCAAGTCTGGAGCTGGAGGGATGTGGGGACTGGGGTGTGTTGAAGTTTTCTCCCTGTTCTGGGCTCCTCACAACATTCTCACAATCTGCTTTTTAATCAGTCCCTGCTGGAGGGTTCGGATTCGGTTCCTGTCACTGCCCTCTTTCCCGGGCATCCGTGAGCATTGGACCCACATCCCAAGCTGGGCTTCAGCCCGGGGACAGGGGCGCTGGGCACTCACCGGATCCGCAGCAGAGAGCCAGCATGACCACGGCGAAGGTGATGGCGAGCTTCATGGTGGCAGGAGGGAGGCGAGGCTGTCTCCGGAGAGGGTGGGTTTGTGCAGGCCGTGAGCGCGGCTGCCTCTTATATGCTTGCTCAGGTGGGGGGACAGGCCCAGGTGTGGGGTCCCCTTAGGGAACCGCACTGTTGACTTGGGCATGGGTTCCGTGGAAAAAGCAAACAGTGTCTCCTCATTGAAAATGAGCTCACACAACAGGCCACTTGGCAGGGGACACTGCGTCCCACCTGCCCGCCACTGCCCCTCTCCTTGACCCTGCACCTTGGCTCAGTGAGAGTGGAAAGAAGCCAATGTGGTGACCTCCCGGTCCACCAGCTGGCAGAGCTGCAAGGGGCAAAAATGGGGGGACTCCAAAAATAGAGAGAAACTGTCTGCCATAGAGGCAAAGGGAAGGGCGGGATGTGAGGGCCAGGGACTCTGGGGACACTGGTAGCAGAAAGTTTGCACTGGTGGAGTGATGGGTGTTCAATCATTGTATCTCAACATGAATCTCAAACATGAAAGCTCTGTAACTCTATTTCACGGAGGTTCAATAATAATAGCACTGTAGCACTGTCCTCCTGTTGTTCATTGAATTGCTTGAGCAGATGCCAGTAACATCTCCACTGTTACTGTTTTTGGGCATATTGAATATGCCATGGGTAGCTTGCCAGGCTCTGCCGTGCAGGCGGGATACTCTCGGTAGCTTGCTAGGCTCTCTGAGAGGGATGGAGGCTTTTGGGGCAACCTCTAATCACCTTTACAGGTCTTCCCAGTCAGGTGTATGTGCGGGCAAGATACTCTCGGTAGCCTGCCTGGTTCTCTGAGAGCGAGAACTAGACAATAAGAGGTCGCTTCCGGGTTTTATAGTCTCTGGTTTTATAGTCTCCTGGTTTTATAGTCTCTGGATCTTGGCAATTGATGGGGTTACAGGGCAGTTGGTGGGTGTAACTGTCTAGCTACTGGAAGATGGGGGATCTGTTTTGTTTTACAAAGCTGTCCATAATTCCTCCACCAGCGTCCCCAGGTTCCCCTCTCACCCCTATCTGTACCAGATAAATACGCACAGATGACCCACCCTACCTGTACCAGATAAATACCTCACCGGCAGACCTCCACTACCTCCACTAACTCCACTACCCAGCCACCAACACGCTCCAGGACGCTTTCCGGTGCTCGGGCTGAGACTTACGCATGAGTTAAGCCCCACAGAACAAGATAAGTGGAACTCTGAGACCTTGGACTCCAGGTTCAACGGACCCAGGGACAGAGATCCTCAGCCTGCTCCCACCAACCACAGGTGATGAAGGGATTAAAACCAGGAGTCCCACCCTACCCTGCCCTGTCTGTCTTCTGTGCGGAATCCAATCCTGGGTTGCCAACGGTTGGAACTCATAGCATAAAATATTAATCCTGAAAATTTGCCTGTGAAGGAGGCAGGCTTAGGGATGGAAGAGGAACCTGGGGATGCTGGTGGAGGAATTATGGACAGCTTTGTAAAACAAGGCTTTGGGCCCCTAGGAGGGGGGCAGGTTGAGTTTTCCTCTCCGCCCTGTGCAGAGCCCCGGCAGCTGAAGACCTCTGGGACCCAGCCACAGTCATGCTGAGACCACTCTCTACATGCTAGTTCGAGCCTCACGCATGAGGGAGCCGGAAGAGGAACCCAGGTGTGTGGGAGCCAGGGCTGAGATCTTCAAGCCTGCTCAGATCGGGGCTCGGTCTCCTCCACCCAGATCCCCCATCTTCCAGTAGCTAGACAGTTACACTCACCAACTGCCGTGTAACCCCATCAACTGCCAAGATCCAGAGACTATAAAACCAAGCTCCCGGAAGTGACCTCTTATTGTCTAGTTCTTGCTTTCAGAGAACCAGGCAGGCTACTGAGAGTATCTTGCCCGCCTGACTGGGAAGACCTGTAAAGGTGATTAGAGGTTGCCCCAAAAGCCTCCATCCCTTTCAGAGAGCCTGGAAAGCTACCGAGAGTATCCTGCCCACACGGCAGAGCCTGGCAAGATACCCGTGGCTTATTCAATATGCCAGAAACAGTAACAATGGAGACGTTACTGGTGTCCGCTCGAGCAAATCGATGAACAACGGGAGGACAGTGATACAGTGCTATTATTATTGAACCTCCGTGAAATAGTTACAGAGCTTTCGTGTTTGAGATTCAGCCATACAATGATACAATGACCCATCCCTCCACCAGTGCAAACCTTCCACCAGCAATGTCCCCAGTATCCCTGCCCCCCCACATCCCATCCTTCCCTTTGCCTCTATTTTAGTTTCTCTCTATTTTTGGAGCCCCGCCCCCATTCTTCCCACTTGCAGCCGGCTTTTGACCAGGGGGTCCCAAAATTGGCTTCATTCCACCCTCACTGAGCCAAGTGCAAGGTCAAGGAGAGGGGCAGTGGTGGGCAGGTGGGATGCAGTGTCCCCTGTCAAGTGGCCCAATGGTGTGAGCTCATTTCCAATGAGGAGACACTGTTTGCTTTTTCCACGGAACCCATGCCCAAGTCAACATTGCGGTTCCAAAAGTGGACCCCATACCTGGGCCCGTCACCCACCTGAGCAAGCATATAAGAGGCAGCCACGCTCACAGCCTGCACAAACCCACCCTCTCCGGAGACAGCCTCGCCTCCCTCCTGCCACCATGAAGCTCGCCATCACCTTCGCCGTGGTCATGCTGGCTCTCTGCTGCGGCTCTAGTGAGTGCCCAGTGCCCCTGTCCCCGGGCTGAAGCCCAGCTTGGGATGTGGGTCTGATGATCAGGGATGCCCGGGAAAGAGGGTAATGACAGAAACCGAGTCTGAACCCCCCATCAAGGACTGATTAAAAAGCAGATCTTGAGAATGCCGTGAGGAGCCCAGAATCAGGGAGGAAACTTCAACACACCCCAGTCCCCAAATCCCTCCACTTCCAGGCGTCAAGGGATGGACCGGAGGGCAGCGTGATGGAGGGTGATGGAACCACCGTGCTCACGGAGCGTGCAAGCCAGTGTGAGCACACAAAGCTGCATCCTGAGTGTCCCCCCAGGGGCTAAGAGAACTAGCAGTCCCTGGGGTTGGGATCTTCGCCCCACTTTGTCATGGCCACTTGCCCCCCCAAAGAAATCCAACTCAAGGCAAGGTCTCTCCTTCTGGCCAAAGGACTATTCTAGAAAGGATCTTCTCTTTGGGCAACTTGCCACCCCAGAGAGGGGTTTTCAAAACCTTTGCAAGAATGACTAGCAGGGATAGTACAGCAGGGAGGGTGCTGGTCTTGCACATGGCCAACCCAGGTTCGGTCTCCGGCATCCCATAGGGAGCCTCAAGTTCTGCTAGGAGTGATCTCTGAGCTCAGAGCCAGAAGTAAGCCGTGAGCACTGCCTGGTGAGGTCCAAAAGCCAAAAAACCAAATCAACAATAACAGAAACAAGAAGAAAGAGACTGAATCGGACTGGGGGCTGGGGTCAGGTGTGCAGACCACCACAATCTTGCACTCTCTCATCTTGGAGGAGCTGGTCAATTCAAATCCAAGCTAGCAGGTGTTTTTCACTTCCTGTTAGCCACCTGTAATCCTTTTAAAGGGAAAAGGTAAGGAACATGCATTTATGGACCGATGTGGAGTGATAGCACAGCGGTAGGGCGTTTGTCTTGTGCACAGCCAGCCCGGCCGAGCCGGGTTCAATTCCTCCGCATCTCTCAGAGAGCTCAGCAAGCTACCGAGAGTATCTTGTCCACAGGGCAGAGTCTGGCAAGCTACCCATGACGTATTCGATTTGCCAAACACAGTAACAAGTGTCACAATGGAAACGTTACTGGCCCGCTATAGAAAATCTATGAACAATGGGAGGACAGTGTAACCTAGGGACTCACTTTGTTTTTGTATTTCAGCCACACCTGGTGGCATTCGGGGTGGGGGTAGGGGTTGGGGGATGCTCCCCAGCTCCAAAGAGCGGTCTGCCCCCAGGGTGCTCACGAGACCAGATGATGCCGAAAATCAAGCTGGGCCTCCTGCTTGAGCCCTTTGAGCCACTTCCTGGGTCCATTAACTCACTTAAAAGATCTCCTCATGCAGGACCAGAACAATCAGTCAAAGGACTGAAGCAAAGCATGCGGGAGACTTACATTTGATTCCTAGCAACCCTTGGGGCCAGAGCGACAGTACAGCGGGGAGGGCATTTACCTAGCATGTGGCCGAACCGGGTTCGATCCCTGGCATCCCATGTGGTTCCCAAAGCATGGCCAGGAGCAACCCCTGAGCATCGCTGGGTTGGACCCAAAAGCAATAAACAAACAAACAAATAAATAAATAATTCCCAGCAACCCCAAGTATGAATCTGGGAGTAGCCCCAAACACTATCAGCCCAAACACAACCCAAATAACCCCAAAAGGTGAGAGGCCAGAGAGATGGGGCAGAGGTTAAGGCTCTTGTCTTTGCATGTGGCCAATTGCTGGATCCCAAGCATCTCATGGCCCCCAGAACTTGGCCAGCGCTCACTCCCGAGCACAGAGCCAGAGCAGCCCCTGAGCCCAGCAGGGTGTGGCCCAAACAACCCCCACTCAAAAAATGAAAGTTTCATCATCCATGGAGATACATTCTATACCCCCTGAGGGAGTGGGCAGGGAGCAAAAGTTCTTAGGAAAACCAGAAGGGACAGGAACAATTGTGGTGCAGAGAAGTTTAGTTTTCGAAGGAAATAACATCATGTGGGACTGAAATGGACATGGATTAGTCGTCCGTAGGAGGGTGTGGTTGAGTCAGATGGGCAGACAGGCGTTTAGGGGCCAGTCTGGGGTGTATTTTCAAGTGGGCGTGCGTGGGCCCCTAATATAACAGTGAGGATCGTGTCTGACCATTGGCCAGCGCTTACCCGTGCTGATTTCTGCTCCAAATACCACTCACCTAGCGTCCCTTCATTCGTTCTTGCAACCACCCTAATGAGGGCAGGCCCGTGGCCTCGAGATGAGAAAAGCAAGGCCCAGAAGGGAAAGGAACAGGGATCTGTGTGCAAGAGGGGACTAGTCTCTGCTGGCCAGATATGGAACTCCCAGCTTGCACAC